GTGGCATTTCTCACCTTGTTGATAACAATTGCTTTCAGTTATACAATATCTGCTTGCCCTCCCTTTCTTTGCCAGAGGTACACAGAATTTAATAGGCTATATAAAACAGTGTCCAAAATAAATGTGTTTGAATTTGCATTAAAATATAGGTAAATACTGTAAAAATATTTTTAGATGGATTCCACAATTTGTTGTCGATATGTAGCTGTTTCTAGGAAATCAGCAAGAAAGATTCTGTATTATCAGGGAGCATGTAACCACACAGTTTAAGGAAGGGGAGACCTGTTTCGATAAGCTGTGTCCTTGAGCTGCTGTGTTCTCCATATATGCTAATAAGGAGAATGAGGAGAATTAACAAGTAACTGTGGAAAGCAGGGCAGGATGGATTGATTTAAAATCAAAGTGATTTAAATCATCCAAGTAATTGACATGATTTAAATAATTGATTTAAATCAAGTTTCCAATTTTCTAATTAATATATTTCCTGAAGAAGGATGCATACTAATTAGTTGCTATTACAATTAATACATATTGTTTTTGTAACCTAAGAACATGCCACCTCTAGTCATGCAGTCCATATACCTTTGAAAGTATTGAATACTAGTCGAGGAGAAACTGTTAAATTAAGGATATCTGGATTTCCTTTTATACATGTAAAGACACTGTGTGACATCGTTTGAGTGAAGACTTACAGAACCATCATTCAGAAATAGCATCAGTTGACTTCAATGGGATCCCTAGGTCAGTGCATAGAGGACTTCAGCATTACTTACCTGGGAATTTCTAGAAACAAACTTTAGCATTTACTTGGCAGAATACTGTTTTATTGTATGAGCTAAATAAATAGTCCTAATGTTTGCAAACATGTTGACCCAGAACATTCACTATTTGTGCAAAGTATTATTAATATCATGCAAGGCTACTGTATGGCATTTCTAATCCAATGTTTTTTTACTCTGGTTTGTTCTTTTACACTAGCAATGGGGTTAGGTGTGGTCTGTGGAACGTATGCAGGCCTCAACACTGTGTTGCAGCCCCTAAGGGACACTGCACCTCCCAACCTTCCTCCAAAATTGATAATAATCCCTCCTCCATTGCCAAAATGGGGAGGTGCTTGCACTTTCGCTGCTTTGCGTGGCCTTTTTGCATCCCTCTCCTTTTCTGTGCCAAGTGTTGGTAGGCAGTTGCCTACCCTGTTTTACATTGAAAAACAGTCTCTAGGTATTTGTGGGTTTTTCAGGCTGTGTGGCCATGTTCTAGAAGAGTTCCACACAGCCAGAAAAACCCACAAAAACCTATGGATGCCATCCATGAAAGCCTTCGACTTCAGTCTCTAGGTGGCCAAATGCAGACATCATGTTAAACCAGCCATTATGCTCACTACCTGAAGTCATACTTTTACTCTGCAGTGGGGTAGATAAGTGTATGGGGGGCAGAGGCCAATTTTCTTTCTTGTGTTCTCCAGCTGGATGCACTGGCATGTTGTCAGCGAATTGGAACGGATGTCACTTCACTTCTGGCCTCTGTCTGAACCACGTCAGCCAATGGGGCTGTGGTAGTTAAAATTTGGGGGAAATCTTGATGGTGTTTCAGGAAATTCTGAGCAAAGAATTATGGTATGATCATTTGACAATATAAAGTCATCACATCCTGCCATGGCTAGCCACAATGTGAAAGCAAGTATGTTTTTCAGGTAATTGCTATTGTTTGAGGGAGCCCTGGAGGGCTAGCGATGCTGCTAAAATGGGGCCATACTTTGGATATAACAATCCAAAACTAGTAATGAGTGTGGTGCTCATATAGTCCTACCTCACCTCTCATGCTCACTTTGTTACTTTAATTTATGGTCTAGAAGAAGAAACTGTGTCCCAATGCCAATTTACTAGCCAGAATTAAATTGTGGTTTCAGAGCATGTTTAGTTCATCAAAACAGAGCCTCCTTTTCCTATTTCAGACAAAATAGGACACTATAGCTTATTTTAGGAAGGATTAAAGCACCCAGGACTTGGAAAACTTTAGGTTTTCTTTAATCAGGATCAAAGTACCAAACCTTTGGCACAAAGAGAAAGTGGGATGCATGATCCTGACACTAATTTCTATTTCCCTAAACATGTGTTATGAAGCCAGGATCGTCATGTCTGCAAAGGACCCTACGTCATCCTTCAGTTTGCTCCCCACTTCCAACCAGGGTACCTTGATATTACCCCAAATCACTTGCTTAACCGGTAGTGGAATTATATCACATGTGCTATTCTTACTCCAGATGAGTAAACTAGGTAAGGCTTTGTGAGCTTCCATTATTTGGATTATTCCTCCCCCTATCAGTCTGATGTGTGAGATAAGCAAGAAGAAAGAATGAAATGATCAGTGCTCACAACTGTAAAGTGACTCATTTTTTTTTTGTCTCTTACCAATTAACCATAGCAATTATCTGAAAAATGTCATTCCTTTCAAATTGTGGCTGGCCACTGTAAGAAGTGATGGCCTTGCATTATTAAATAGTCATACCATTGTTCTTCGAAAACACCAACTTGGTTTATGCATCTCAAGGCAAAGTGACTGACTCTTGAAGGCCAGGGATGAAAAAGTTGGATGCAATATGGAAACCAGGTCTCAACAGTAAAGTGTGGGTGGTGTTTAATTTTACCTTTCAACAACCTGGAGCCTAACTACACTTAGAACTGTATAAATCCATTCCTCATCTATCAGCTTGAAAAGAACATCCATAACTTTATGGAATTGGGGCATGACGAGATGCTTCACTTTTTAAAAAGGCAAATGTGCACATCTTCTTGTCTGGAAACTCTCAGGGGATTGCCCTAGCAGCATTGGTTTTGTCCTGCCTGCTGCATCCTCAGTCAAGGAGGATCAACACGTAAACACTACGTTCTTCTTTCAGAAAGATTTAAATGCTAGGAGGAAAAAGGGAGGTAGCAGAAGATTTGTAGCCATGGAATGGATACAACCACCATCTTGGTGACTGTTGTCGTGGGTCTTCAAGTTGTTTCTGACTTATGACGACCCTAAGGTAAACCTATCATGGGGTTTTCTTGGCAAGATTTGTTCAGAGGTTTGCCGTGGTCTTCCCCTGAGAGAGTGTGAGTTGGCCAAGGTCACCCAGTGGCTTTCAAGGACAAGCTGGTAATTGAACCCTGGTCTTCAGAGTCATACTCCCAACACTCAGGCCACTTTGCTACCCTGGCTCTCCATTGTGATGATATCACTTTGCTAATCCATTGTTCACCTTAAACCCTCAACTCCCCTAAGGCAGGGGTAGGCAACCTAAGGCCCGGGGGCTCGATGCGCCCCCCCAAGGCTTTTGGACCAGCCCCAGGCCGGTCCTGC